TGCAGCCAAAATCAAGACTGTGGTGAGAGATAAGGCTGCTAGTTTTAAAGTTGGTAAAGAGAAGTAACTTAGTATTTTGCTGATGTGTGGCACTTTCGCTGCTTTCTCTTTTAGAGGCCAGTGATAATAATAGTACAATAGAAATATCAAACTTTTATACACACATGCACATATAAGTAAATATGTATATATATACATATAAATACATAATTAACAACACTAAAGCTGGAAATTTCAATAAGTCTATCGAAAATACCATAGCCATGTGTGTGTGTATGAACAAAGTTAGGGCAACGGTGATCACCAATAAGCAAGAATATCCATTATAAGCCCGGGCATAAGCAGCACAAAAGCTCATGGGAAAGATTAACTATGTAAATGTGCAAGTGTGGGATATGTGTATTATAATGGCCTGAAATAACCTGCAAGCTCACACATATATGTATAACAATACATTAAATAGCTCGGTGCAGCTGCTATGGGCTTAAGCATCTTAAATAAAAAGGTAGCACATATGTAAAGGTATGTGCATGTGTGAGGAAATGATTATAGGATAAGCGCACTTCAGGCAGTTCGGGGCAACTTGCCAGTTGGAACGGTCGATTTCTTCTAGCATGAGGCTACTTTAGCTGCATGGCTATTAGTGTTATCAACAGCATGACCAAGACTGTCCGCATCATCATCATCATCATCCGCATGGAAATGCTGCCAAGTCGAATGTAGATTGGTAGTTATATCACTCTATTGGTCAAAGTCGTTAACTCAGCCCTCAAACTATGAGCACAAGCTGTATGAAGTCAAGCGAGAAAAAGCATAAAGTTACAAACGAATATATATATACATAATTACTCATATGTTTGTACTGTCATATATAAACAACCAGCTTTAACCGTAACTATTACGGTGTGCCGTTTTTGTGTGTCTAGCCTAAAACCTAAACTAAGAAAACCTCAGCTTTAATACGCCGTATATGCTAACAGTTAATAGTCAACATCTGTAATGACTTTATTCAGCTACTTGTATATACATTTACATTAGGGTGGGTGGGTTTATTGGGAAAATTGGTTGATAGACACCTCTAAGAAGACTATCCAAGTATGAGCTCTAGCGGTTTTCTATTTTTTTCTTATTATCAGAAAGAAAAATTCATATGTCGCTCTTTGATATATATCGTTATATAGATTTTGTAACAACTTGAATGCACTAGAAATGCTCTCTTACGGCTTTTTCGTGATCCTAACCGTTTAAAAGATATTATAAGATTATTAAGCTGAAATTTTTTTAAACCGAATGGTTTTTACTTTTGATATTATTCAATGAATGCAAATCCTTTTAAATTGCAAATCACATAGTCTTGTAGGAAACTTTCTGTCCACAAAAATGGCATATATAATTTTTCGATTAAATTAAGCGTTTATGGGATATTGATCGTCAAGCATCACATTCGTTTTTCGACCCACCCTAATGTACATATACATATGTATATCTATATGTCCATGTTAGTAACAGCACCTAATTGTAAACAGTAGTAAACTTCTATGTAACTTCCTTCTGACGCTTCCTTACAACACTTCCGTGTGACCATAGGTTGCTAGGCAATTACTGTTGGCCCTGTCATTTGCTGCTGGTTTCGCTGCTCTTTGTTTGCTCAATTTACGCAAAGTCTTGTGCAAAGTTGTGGCAAGTGTTTAATGTTACACAAATACATTTACTTGTGGATTAAGGATGTCCTTAAAATTGTAGAAATACTTCACAATGACTGGTAAATATTCTTGTGGCATAGACTTGATTGACTAACATTACACGAACTCTTGTTATATACTCGCTTGGTATGACCTTCAGTGACTTCAACGAATTTTGGCTTTTTCAATTTCTGCTCATTTTTGGAGCGCCATTTTTCAGATTATTGAAGAGTTTCCAGATCATAGTCATAAGTTCGTGACCAGTAATTATGCGTTTAATGAAAATAAGGTCTTCAACTTTATTGCCAAGCAACGCCTCAACGTCGTTTTTGTAAACGATTCATGTCTTTTGATACGAGCTTCGCATTGGCACATTTCATACCCAAAATCTGTTGAGTCGATTTATAGTACATAGATGTTCAGATGCTTTACTATCTCTCTGTTGCCAATTCGACGGTTTGCAAGCGCTGTTTCTTTAACATTTTCAATTTTATCGTCATTAAGAGAAGTGGATGGACGACTAGTAAAAACATTTCCGAGTAAACTTTGATCAGATGATATTTCCAGCAGCATAAATTAAGATATGTCTGTAAGTTTTTTAACAAAAATCATACATTTATGAAAATTGCACATTACAAAGGCGGTTCCACATAACCTGAATACACAATATTTGGATAGGTCTGTCACCTCAGTTAAGATTAGTTGAGCTTTCTCAAATTTGATCGAGAAGCATGTATTAGTTGACTAGACCAATGCTATTCTTATGAATACTAGGTTCTTGGTTTTAACGGTACTGTGGCACGGTTACTGTCAGCTTTGAAATCAGAAATAAAACCATTTTCGTCAACAAATGGTGCTCTGAGTTGATTCCTCCACTGGATCGTTAATTGTATCTTCTGAAAATAGGACTATTTCTTCCATTACACAAGTGTAAATATTCAAAGGCGTTAAAGGGATTTAGTCTAGAAATTTAAAAATATTAAAATTTTATTTCGCTAAAACTATGTACTATGGAAATAAGAAAAAAAAATGGGTAGCTAAAATATCAATTCCGAGCTATATCATAACTATTATTATACTAGCCTAAAATGCAGAATGTTTAAAAAGTTATGACAAGTTAATGGAACGCGTGGAATAACGATATTTTACTAATTTATCCGTCTAAATTTCTACGGCTAATATTAAGAACAACCCTATGCATAATAATCTATGTACATACCAATTAAAATGTACAAGTATGTGCTTGTATAAGCCATTAACATCTTATTCCATTTTAGCAAGAAAAGCTGCGTAAATATATATCTATTAGGAATAAATGTATTTACTGGGATTTTAGTTCGACTTGAAAGTCGCAACTTCAAATAAAATTTAATATATATTGAATGATATGCAATGCTTAGAGTTGTCAAATGTACAGATAGTATATTTAGAATCGTGTGAGTATAAATTTATTAAGAAAGAATTATGCAATGCAATATATAACATAATCGGAAAACGATCTTTCTAGCCACTTTGATATAAACAAACTTCAATTCGAATTAAGGTTATTTACTGAGAAAAAACGATCTTTTATGAAGAAATTTATCATGGTTTTAATTGGTCAGTTTGAACGGCAACTATATGCTATAGTGGTCCTATCGCAATAATTTATTCAAAAATTGTAGCGTTGCCTTGAAGAATAATCCATCTCGAATATCATGAAGATAATTTTTCAAATAAATAAGTTTCCTTTACAAAAACTTCCTTTTGATGAGTTAGTTTGTATGGCAGCTATATAGAGTATTATAGTGGTTTGATCTCCGACGAATAGCTCATTTACTTACATACATATTTTATAGCGTATTCGACGTTGCCCTCTAGGCATTGCAAACTTCGTGGCAAGGTTAAAATATATTATTCAGAGTGTAAAAATAAGTACGGAAGTGAAGTGCTCGGGGCCAGCCGAACATTAAATTTTTTCACAATTTGAAGTAAAAACCAGTAAATATAAGTTTTCTATAGCTTATAAGTACATATAGACTCATTGATATACCTTACTTAATATCCGGAAAATTTATATTTCATTATATTTGTTCTGCATATGGGACTTGGAGAGAGGAAAAAGAAATTTCATAAATTTTTCATAAGATTTTATTAAGATATCTCACATACTCTTCGATATATTCGATATTCAGCATGTATACGGTGTATATGGTGAAAAGACAACTGACATATGGACTAATATCATAGATTTTGGCACAATTTAAGGTCCTCATTTTAAACATACGGCGGCGGTGGAAGTATGGAAGTATCGATATGCATTTTTGGATCTGTAAGGCCACTTGTTAGAAGCCTTATTTGCGAATGGTTATAGTTAAAAATCTTTACTGAAGCCTGAGTAATCGTCTTATACTATAGGCACAAGCAAATTGATAGAAATCAAAAAGGCCTTCCGTGTGAAGTTTGCGTAACTGTAGTCCCATTTTACATTTCAAGCGAACAGTACCGCGCCCATTAAAAAATTATTGAATCTTTTGCAACTTGTTTTCTGGAAATTTTTTCTAGATTCAGAGAGTTTTTATAGATTGAGGCTGTATATATACATGTACAATATAATATAATATATGTACATATATTTTCAAAATTGATATAATATATGATATTCTACTTCCACTAAAACCGACTAAAACCCGACAGGAAATCTTATAAATATAGACATGTAGTTTCCATATTATCGTTGATGTCTATATAATGAACAATTTAGAAAAATAAAATATAATATCCACCATGAAAATGTAAAGCAAAGCGTTTCATTAGAAAAATTGCAGTAAATCTGTAAACTAAACAGAATGCCTCGAAGCAATGCAGCCGGTCAGCTGGTGATGCGCACTTGCATACATAAGTGCATACAAACATACATCAAAGTGGGAACTTAATTAAACGCGGGCCGCCTGTAATAGGGCGGCAGTGAGCCCCAGGGATTGCATTCGTCATGCAAGTATAATATTAGCCCGCAGCCGACAATGCAAAACCATTTCGCAGACACTGAGTTTGTAATAAACATACATATGTATATATATATATCTAGATTTATGCACACATGCATGTTCAATTGATAGTCTACTAAGTAAATGCTGATTTCTTTATTGTAGAGTAAATACTTTATTGTAGAGTAAATACAGGCCGCATTCAAGGAAAAATAAGAAAATCACCGCTGTGTGTAAGTATAAACACATGTACTTGTATATGGCTATGACGCGACAACCGCAAGTCGGGCGCTGCCACAATAGCTATAGCATGTATTGAAATGCGAACAATTTGATTTCGTATGAAACTCACCTCGATTGATTTTTATTTTATTCCAAATTTTGCGCCGCTTTGTTGTTGTATTCGCTTACGGCCAATGCAAGTGGCAAGCAACGCGTGAAAGCCACGATGCGCCGCTACTTTGTATACACACACTTGTATACCACTACTCATACATAAATATGTATGTATATAGTATATATATGGCTATACTAATGGCGTATACCTCCTTTAGTATGCTGATGTATTTATGGCTGTTTCTATTTGTATTGAAGTTACCTGTAAACAATTCGTGTTATTTATATTGAAAGCATGTTTTCATTTTCATCGATGAGCACATCACTAGGTTGTCTTAATTTCTTTAAAAATGTCTCAGTTACTTAAAACCGGGCGGAATAGATACTGAGAAATGTGTGTTTATATGATTTTATATATACCAATTTTTTAAATTTATGAGAAATTTATGAGCGAGTTTCAAGAAAAATGTATTAGTAGAAATAAATTTCTTAATCACGTATTTTAGTTTTATATTACTTTTGTAACTTAATAATTAAACATTTCAAAAATAATATTTGGAATAAAGTTTTTTTTATTTACTTGGAAAAACCGTAATTATTTTCCAAAAAAAAATTTAAGTTAAGATTTGGTTTTATTAAGAAAAATATATAAACTTGTAAAGTAACGAATACTTGTAGAATAAGCAACCAGCATTAAATATAAGAGTTTGCCATAGCTGAATGGTAAAAAATCAAACATGACACTTTTATAAGAATTTCTACTACTACATTCATTTGAATTAAGGCTTAGGTTAGTGTGAAATTACAAAACTTAAACTATTTTTTCGTATGACGAATAAAAAAATTATGTTTCAATTTTTTTTTATACTCTTGCAACATATTGCTACATAGTATAATAGTTTTGTTTACCCAACGGTTGTTTGTATCACCTAAAAATAATGAAGTTAGATATAGGGTCATATATGTATATACACATAAATAATCAGGATGACGAGACATGTTGAAATCCGAATGACTGTGAGACACATCCGTCCGTCCGTCCGCCATAAACTAAGCAGTAAATTAAGATATAAACCAAAAAAAAAATATATAGAAAATGGGTGAAATCGAATGATAACCCCGCCTACTTCTCATATAATGGTTTTATTAAAAACTACTAAAACTGCGATAAATGAATAACTAACTAACATCCGGGATATTAAAGGGGGGTTTTATAAGAGCAGATGTCAAAATTGGACGACGGGATGGGCACCGCCCAAATATAGGTGAAATCACATATTTTCGGAGCTACTTTACCAATTTCAGTAGGTACCCACGCCTACTTCCCATATAGTATAATTTTAAATTATATGATTATTACACTTTCTGCAATACAAATCAAGCACCAACGAATATATCAGGACAACACTTTCCACAAGTAGTGCTTTTGTCTTACACCATCTCAAGTCTAAAATTTGCCAAAAACGGATCATAACTGTTCAAGCCCCCAGCAACGGAATATGATCACCACAGTGCCTGGTGCTAACTTTTCAGCGTAAATAACGGTCAGTCTGTGAGAAATATTATTGTAATTCGGAGAGAGTCTCTCTCTGATAATATTATGCCTGTATTTTAAAAATGTATTGAACTGGGTTTATACTTGCCTTATTCCCCATATACCTTATCGAAATATTTGCAAACTTCCGGTTTACTTCATGCCGCATATATCGGCCAATATGTGAGCTATCTTAATAAAGTAACATTGATGTATTTTTCTTATAACGGTGAATTTGTGTGCCAAAAATAAAAAAAGTCGGGTGAAAACTTTCCCTAAACCCCAACATCCGGTTGATTTTACTCTACATATAATATGTTGATGACGGTATGAGAGGTACTTTAATGAAACTCAGAGAGCATAGTATTCTGTTAATTATATGTTTTATTGAAAAAAAAATAGATAAAATCGGGTCAATACTATCCCAATCTCTCATATACCTAATGTATGATTTTTAAACTTTCGGTTAGCCTTAAGCCATATATGCCGGTAATGCATTGTTAATGAAAACACCAACTGATTTACTGACAACAAATAACTGTGAATACTTATATTTTTCAATTTTTAAATACCTTTTATATCAAAAATGTTTGCAAAGATTTTCAAATATTATTTTTTTCCAAAGCCCTCATCGCCTTTCTTTGTCTTCACTACCTTCTGAAAATTATTTTATAGGTTGCTTGTATTTTAGGAGTGTAATTGGTTGAAGTAGAAGGGCTTTTAAAATTAGGAAAATAGACAGAAAGAATCAAAAATGTTTAAAAAATTACCAGAGGTGAGAAATCAATCAGTTGGGTGAGCATCTAATTTGTTTAAGTTCTATCATTTCGATATATTCAAAAATTGGTTAATATACTCCTAAATAATATATATATGTATAAGTATTATGTATTAAATTTGCTAATAATAACAAACGGACATTCGACCTTTTCATCTATTCAAACCTTTGTTAAACATATTTTGAAAATATTTTGAATACGTATTTCTGCAAAAATTGATAACAGAAGTGATATATACATACAATTCTTATTGAGTTGAATATATGCCTAGAGATATTATGATATTAAAAATATTCAAAAAGTCAAAATTTCGAAAAAAAATAAGTCAAATTCTCTATCAAAGTACTTGCTATTTCCACCGCTCGCAGCGGAATATACCCTACTAATCGTTCTAATTATTGAAATTTCCCGCCTAAGTCCACTCACAAATCACACCATAATTCGAGTATATATATCATCGTCCACAAACGCACATTTACATAAGTATCTGCATATTAATGTTTGTTTGTATGTATTTCATAGTTATTATGTTATTAAATTAATCGTTTGTTTTAATAAAAATATTTGTTTTTTAACATTACACGTGAATAATTAGATTTGCTCCACCACGAAACTGCGCTGTGCGACGCACACCAACTAAACGCGAACTGAAAGTCGAATATGTATTGAATTGCCATCTCAGCGGTGTCGAACGCGCCTCTGCATACGCAGCATGAGAAATTTGGTTTCGAATTGACCAACACACCGTTTTTGCCTTAGCGGCAGAACTGTAGAAAAATATCGGACACGTTGTGCGCGGTGAGTGAGGGAAAACATCCTATGCTCGTAAGATCAGCGAAAACCACTGGCGATTCTATGTACGAGCGATACACATAAGTTCCGACACACATACATATGTGCGAATTCGCAATGTCGGAAAGTAATTGTAAATACAGTCAATGAAGAACACCCAACAGGAAATTAATACCCGAAATATATATCTGGATTATTATAAGGTGTGACAAACTACCATCGATCTATCTTTAACAAAAGTCCATTTGTCTTACTGAACGGCCAAGTAAATTGCAAAATTGTTCTGGAAAGGCCTGAAAAAGTGGTGGGAAATCGAACCACACCGATCTTATGGTCTTCAAGAGTATTAGATGCGGTGGCCATATACCTAAAAATCTGCCTTGCAATTTCATTTAGGAAAGGCCCATATTAATTCAGCCCGTTAACCGCATCGACAAAACAGACCGCCAGATACACCTTTCTTGTCATAAACGGTTGCACAAACCATACCCTTCGCAAATACGAAATATTCCATACAACAACTTTATTTTTATCGGTCAGTTTGTATGGCAGCTATACGCTATAGTGATCCGATCTGAAAAAGTTAATGGGAAATTGTACCGTTTTCTTGAAAAAGTTTACCATACATGACCAACATTTTTATTGTTCAGTTTATAGCAGCTATGTGCTATAGTGTTTCGACATCAGCGATTCCGAAAATGAGAGGAATCCTGGGAAGAAAAGTACGAGTGGAAAATTTCAGATTGTTATCTTATTATAGTTATATTAAAACTGAGGGAAAACTTCACGTATATACATACAGTCGAACATGACTAAATGAACACAGCTCGTTATTTTGATCATTTATATATATATATATTATAGGGCCTCCGACGATTCCGTCTGAATATTACAAGCTTCGTGGCAAACTTAATATACCCTGTTCAGAGAATAAGAAAGGTTACAAGAATCTAAGGAAAAATTGAGCCTGATCGGGTTAAAATAGATTTTAAGCATGCTCGAATAAACAAAAGCAAGTAGAAAAAATAATTTTTTCACATATTATTCTCTCGGTATAGAAATCTATAAAAATAAAAGTTAAAACATCAATAGCTAAACCTTGTTTTCAAATATACTAAAATTAAAATATTTCTAAAATTTTGTTTACAATCTATGTTTCTTAGATTAACTTTTCGATTTTTCTTTTCGCACACTTTTTCTGTAACGTAAGCAAACAAGTATTCTTTACTTCATATTCTCATAAAAATTGAATTTTTTGAAACTAGTGAGTATTTGTTTGTTTCAAAGAAACATTTTCCAGCAATTATAATAAATAAAAATTTCTTGCAATTATACAGCCCACGGTCTCTCAACAACAATTTATTGTTATTAGCTAGCGATTTTGAAAACCCAGAATATCGGGCAGACACATATCGGTATCTTTTGTATAAATATATATATATATATACATGTAGTACTTAATATGAGTTAGTCATATTACGAGATTTTATAGACATAAGTTTTAAGTGTGCAAATAATTGTTGCTGGAATATACAGTTGGCTATGAATGAGCAGAAATCTTGAATAGAATATTAATTATTTAGAATAAATATTTACCTCTTACTTATATTTGGAGAAGGATTGCTATTCGAACGAAAGCCGAAAAAGTTTTGGAAAATAAATTTTTGTGAAACAAAGTTAAAAAAAAATATTCTAAAGATAGTTTACCAAAATCTAGTCTAAAGTTCCTACGTTATCCCATCAATATTTAGAAGAATAATATTTAATTCCCAGAGCTTAGCGGTCGACTTCGTTCTTATATATGCGAATGTAAATTTTGTAGATTTTTCTACGTCATCAAAATTTTCAATACAGTAGCCTTAATATGAAAAAAATCTTCAGTTTAGAAATTTCAAAATCGTGTTATAATATTATATATGAGAAAACTTTAGATATTTTGAAGTCCATTTTTCTAAGCAAGACGAAATTGAAATATTAAGATATCAAAACTAAAAGATTATATGTATAGTCGTGTCTGTATAGTCCTTTCGAACATTTTTTGACACTCAATATAAATATAAATACTGATATTTTTAATATCAATATTTACTTATTAATATGTCAAGCAATTATTTATAACAAATAAATTAAATTTCTCCAGATTACACGTTGTTGAAATATGGCGTGTCCATCTTGTCACGGTTTCCACTCTTCTCAACTGAAATAAAAAATAATAAGAATAAGATTATCAATTCGAAGAAACGTAATCAAGCTTAAAATCTTAAAATCAATATGCCAAAAATGTTTGACAAACGCTTCAAAAACATGGTTACGATTGAAATGCATTTACAGTTAAGAACAGTCTTTTGCCAGATTTATTTTGACCAAATAGATTTATTCTTGTAGTATTGCCGAGTCCGCAACTTTAAAATGAATGTGACATTTAAAATAATTTGAATTTTGAAAAATTTCTTTGTAGAGATATTTTTATATTTTTAGAAGCGCGGACTGCATTAATATGAAAAAAGGATTGGATATTTTTAATTTCTAGACTAGCATATCCACTAAAGTTTTCTTTTATAATTTTCCAGTTTTCAATATCTTTTTAAAGGCTAGCAGTAATCTGTCATTATATACATAACTATCCCATTAATATTAATACCTCTCTTTAACCACGTTTAGTTTCTGGTTTAACCGCTCTCCCTGTTCCTCACTAGAATTTCCTAAATTATACGAAAATGTAAAAGATGTGTTCAGACAATACCGGGAATTTTAAAATTTAATATTTGGAGACTTTAATTGTTAACAAGCTTCTAAAGTACGATTAGTACTATGTTCGACACAAAATTCGTGTTTTCATAGACAACTTGTGTTTTCATCCATACAAAATCTGTCAAACGTAAACACAGTTTTCGCTGAAAACCCCTTGAAAACTTACATTCCACTCATTATAATCGGTGCCTGCTCTAGTTTAATCGATATTATTAGGAGACATATTTTGCCAGCCCTAAATGTCAGTTGACAATTTGTTTACATACCATAATTCGCCCAAACATGCCCTACAAGAAACTGCTGATGGGTTCACCAATACACTCACATTTGATATGTCAGTACTGTTAATTTACATTTGCATTTTTAAATTCAGAACTATCCACTGATTGGAGCAAGACATACGCAGAGCTATTGAGAGCAGGAGATGGCATCAAGTGAAAATTTATTTTTATATTTTCATATTTTATTATTTAATTATATTTTTCGTTGCATTCCTTTTTATATTTAAGTAAATTATTATAACTAATTTTGATTAAAAGTTTGAAATTTATTAAAGAAATAAAAATTATATTATCTACTGCGCAAAAGAATTTTTCACTTCTGATAGCGTTTCAGTCATAACTGACAATTTTTAGCTATGGCGGATTTGTGGTCAGCAATGACTCAGAAGAAGACATGAGAGTGAGCAGTATTCCGAATACCCATGTGTTAAAGAGAGATGTAAACTCACACACATACGTTTGTTTACATCAGTTTTTGCACAAGGCTATTAAGAAAATTAAAGAAACTTTGTTCTGCGCGCTGACAAAATTTTTTCAGCTATGACTGTCATATTACCCATCAGATGACCGTCACTGTTCTTTTAGGGTACTTAACAAATGTAAACAAATAGATGTATGAACTGTCAATGAAAACTCATCGAAAACACACAATGTCGGTCAGGACGACTATGGTTCCATAAATTGTGTGTTTCAAGAGGATTTCAATTCGGTGCGAACATAGTATAAAATTTCAGCTTGTGTTCATTGCTTACTTTGTCTGTAACAGCCGCTAAGATTAGACACTTTCAGTTCTATGAGCTTGGCAATTTTCGTTTGTTTGTTCATGAATTCTTAGCCAAGAACAATACTCTAACGATGCCCCAGCTGCCATATTCACCAAACATGGCACCGTGTGACTTTTTCCTATTTCCAAAAATTAAGAGAATCTTAAGGTGTCTTCGTTGCACAAGATATGTAGATGAAAATCGCTGAAAGAGCTAAAGGCTATCCCAAAAATTGACGATTGGAAGAAGCGTTGGCATAAGTGCATAATATCAAATGGGGACATTTTTAAAAACGACAATATTAATGTAGACGAATAAATATTTTTTTTTTTTTTCAAATAACAAAATTTACCGTTGATTTTAGAACACACCTCATATGCGGATGATTGCGGAGATAGTCTAACTTGATACTCATTCCTCCTAGAAACTGAAAGTTTGTCAGCATATTTTGCCCAATTTCTTTATAATTTGATGTTTTATAATTCTCTAGGGAATTTTTGACTATCAACACAAAACTTTTTTAAACTTCAATTTCCGAAACACTCATAAATTTGAAAAAAATCTAAACTTCAAGAATTGCCGTATATGAGGACCTTCAAATTTTCCACCTTTCACCTTTTCCATACTAGGCTTCGGAAATTTTTTACATATTTTTTCCGGTCCAAAGATTTTACAAATTGCTTTGTCATTTCCAACTTGATGACGGATTAAATCACTGAGTTCATATTCAGACTATAACTTTAGCATACTGTATCGGTTTCTGGAAATTCGATGACATCATTACTTTTGCGGGCATGCCAATAATTTTTGATATACAAAGGGAGATTTTCATTGACTTAAATAGGACATTTCGAAAACTGTAAGTCAAGATATCTTCACGCCCGATTTTTTTTAAAACCTTGAAACCTTCCGCATAAGTTTGCGCATATATTTGGAGAAGCCTGAGAGTGGGCATCACACTTTTGAAAGCAGGAAAAAGATGCTCAGCACTCTAATCATGACTCGGAAAGTAAATACTACTATGTACAACTGTATGTAAACTGAGCACTTGAAAACATCAAAATATGCTGAGATATCAAAAGCAACCTTTTTTTTTTTGTTTTGT